ACAGTTTACCTCCGTTACATCGAAGCCCCATTTGGGTGACAACGTTGATTAAAATCGTGTTTGGAACGTACATGATGGTGACTCTAATTGTGTTGATAAACCTTTTAATAGCTATGATGTCGGACACGTATCAACGTATTGTCCAGCAGTCGGATACAGAGTGGAAGTTTGGACGAGCGAAATTAATTCGAAACATGAATCGAACGTCTGCAACACCTTCTCCATTGAATCTGCTGACGAAGGCCTTCATGTATATCAAGATCGCTTATAAACATAGAGGTAGGATAACTTATTTTCTTCAGAGGTTCTTGGTTCTCTTTAATGTAATTCACGTCTAGACGTTCGGATGGGACAATCAACCGAGGCCCCGTGTGCAACAGGCTGTGCACGTTAAAGCTCCCTCGACAATTGTAAAAAGGAGCAGGCTAATGCCGCTGTCCTGGCAAAATTTCCCTCAATGCACCCTGCATGGCGTTGCCCGTCTTCATCAGCCCACATGGTGCAGAAAAGTAGGACGTAAAACTCCATTCATTTCATTTCATTGTTACTGTTATTCAGGCAATTACACATACCATATATTTGTGTGTGTAATGCGCATAATAAAAACCGATGCCAAGCCGGGGTGCCCATTATGTTCCTTGTCAATATTGACATTCCGTCCTTTTGTAATTGATCGCTGATGGTAGAGGTTGCTCATATGGAAGACGGTACCCTACATTGCAATGTCACAATATCGATGCTCATTTGAGGTTTTTATTGTGAATAATAAGGAGCCTAAATTTGTCGTCAAGTCTATATCTGTTAACGTTACACATCTCTTAATATATTTTATTCAAGAAATCATGGGACTTCTTGGAGCTAGTGCCTTGTATTAAGGTAGTGATTGGAACAAATTAGGCTGAACACTGGTGTGTTTCGGGCGCCAAGATATAGAATATGTGTGTTTCTCGGGGGCTGAGCCCTTACCCTCGTCTCTTCCCAACTACTATTGCATACTTTTCTTACCCAATCCATTATATATCTACAGGTAAAATATGTAGTACCCACGCTACAGAGTATGTTCACGATGAGGAAGATCTTGACAACATGTCCGATTCCAGGTCCATGGATATACTGGCTCAGTCGTCTGCTAACTGGTTACGTAATGTAGTAAGACGAAACACGCAGGTTGCTCCTGATGGTAAGTATTTTATAAAAACCGTAATTGCGTCGTGTCGCGACGGGCAAAGAATCCATGAGTGCAGTAACACGATTGTTCAGTTGGATGTCGTTGGTTTTTTTTGGGTTTTGGTTTTTTTTTTTTTTTGTTTTTTTTTTTTTTTGCAATATCAATAAAAGTAAATGTTTGATCACGTAGCTATCCCAAAGGCCCTAAGATAATATTAGCAGCCGTCGCGATAGTAACTTCATAAAACGTTAAGTTTTGGTGGCAATGCAAGAACCACAGACGTTTGGCTGATAATTGGTGCAAATCCATACCATCTATCAGTGCCCTTGATATACATAAAAAGTTTAGAAAACCTCTTCATAATCCATTGATTGCTCTGTACATATTTTCCAGGTGGGTTTTTACGAAATACATTTCGACACGGTCCCCAGAGGATTGAGGATGTAGTAGAATGGGAACTGGTAGTTAAGAAATATCTGGTGATGCAGGGAATCGAGGAACCAGAACAAGTGGGATTTGATGATGACAAGATAGTTCCACCTCCCATGAATAACGGACATGTATCTAATTTTAGAGATTTGACTGACAAGTTACAGATGTAGACATTATTCAACTCCGTTTGTGTGGTAAATGCCAGGCCCATTTAAGGATTTCCAAAGGGGAGATAACCTATTGTAATTCAGACAACATATAATGATACACTACAGTAAAGTAAGGGACATGATGGTGCGGTTGAATTTACAATTAATTTCTGTTGGTGTCTCCGTTATTGTGTTCCAGACATTGCTGTTGATGGGTATAAATTATCCAAGAAAGACCAGCACTAAAAGGTCCATCATGAAACGATTTCTGACTACTGTAAGTTCTTTGAATGTCTTCCTTCCAACTCAGATTTTGAAAGATCCAGACCAGACCCATTTGCAGCAGTGTCAACAGGAATGATAGGATACCAACAGGAATAAGGTACAGATGAATGCACATTTTAAAGGCTTATTTGGATCAAAGTTGAAGACATACTGAAACTTGTCTGGCAGAGTGTTTCACCATCAAGAACCCTGATTATGAAGACTGTAAATATTTGTTACGCACACCTCTCACTTGTTTAGTTTAGCAAATTGCAAAATGTAAATAAGATAATCAAAATAATTGTTTGAATTTGTATGTTAAGGGACAATGATGTTTAAGTTCCCCGCCTCCACCCCAACCTCAAATACAATGTTAGTAATTTTTAATTCTAGAATATTGGCAAGAAACTTCAATTTAACTCAGCCTTTCATGAACGACAACAATTGTAATGTTGTAATTTTGACAGTTATTTGTATTGATTGTAAATAGTTTGTTATTTGTATGACTAAACCACACTTGTGGTATTATTATAATAAGGATATCCCTTGTATATATGATAACATAGCCTGTGATAACTCCCCTCGCCGCTCTCGATATTTTATTTCAAATACTGTATAATTGCTATTAAAATGTGCACGGATATATAATGCGCACCCCTTAATACCCATCAGTATATCTGGAAACACTTCTGCCATCGTATGGGGTAAAAACTGCGCATCATACACGCAAATATACGGTATCATTTTTTGTGGCCTTTCTCTTCGACTTGACTAAGATCAAATCCAGATATCCAGGAATACAGTAGGCTAGTTGGATTGGATAATATAACTGAATTTGAAATTGACTTTTGTGATTCGCTAATCGGGAGACCAAATCAAAATATAATCCCACGTGTTTTATAATAAGGCCTTAAAATATCACTCCTAATTCAGAAAACTCTTTAACCGGAGTATTCTAGAGACTCGAAACCTGAGAAGATCAGTTTCTTCTGCCACAATAAAAGTCCCGACAAAAACACCATTTTTCACTTATACAAATACCATGAAACCCGTTGTATAATATTTTTACCCAGTGATATACAGTCCATATATAGGGCCAATTTCTTACAGTTTGTTATATAATGAATTGTTAATATATTTGTAATACCTTATTTAAATTGTTGTATATAATGTAGATTTATAAATAACTAGAATGTTTAAAGTGATTTGGCTCGATTCGATTTGAAAAGAAAGTCACATTTAGTTTCGAATGAACCATGCATCACTCTAGTCTAGTAGGAAAGAAAATAGCGCATGACACTTGATACATGATGCCTTTTTCATGACTCACAAAGCCTATTTCGTGACTCATAATGCCGCTACCGTAACTCACGATGCCTCTTTTGTGACTTACTATGCCTCATTCGTAACTCACGATGCCTCTTATGTGACTTACTATGCCTCATTCGTGACTCACAATGTCTAATTCGTGTTTCATGATGCCTCTTTCGTGACTCAAGATGTCGCTATCGTGCCTCATAATGCCTATTCGGGACTCAAGATGCATCTTAAATCTTAATTACTTACACTTGAAGATTACCGTAAACCTACTATTATAAGACCACTGAATGGTTGATGTTAATATTACAATACGAAAATCGTAAATCAAAAACTTCCTGACAAGTGGCTCATTTCTGTCTTCAAAAACACGTGACTGGAGCCAAATACCTTTAAAGCTGTAAAAATAGTATGTAATTAAAAATGCAATTAACAATTAAAATCAAAATAGCTATTGTTATAGCTTGTATATTTATTAATTACCGTATATATATTTATTGTTTTACCAATTGATTTTGTTTATCATTACGTCCAATTTTGTTTTTGTATTAATTCAATTTATTTTTTTTTGAAGATCGTCCCTTCCAAGCAAATATATTTTTGAAATGTTTCATTTCCATATCTTTGGCCTATTTTTGAAAACAGTCGTAAAATATTATTTTTAAGGAGAGTCCACGATTATTTATTGAAATTTTATTCATTATTATTTATTTAGAAGAACATTCTAGATGGCTTTTGCCAATCTTTCGCTATTTTATGACAAAATTTTGTGCAATAATTTAATATCTTTGTGATATGTTTTGACTGAATCTCTCGTTATATTCATATTGTTTTTTCTTTATTGTTGAGTTTGTTAATTTATTTAGAAAGATAATTTAGTAATAAAACTACAGCTAGAAATAGATACTGGTTCATTCTTCAACTACGTTCTCTAGAAAGTTCCAGCCAAGATATTCAGCCAAGATATTTGATATACAGATCCTCAGTGGCCTTTTTATGAATCAGTAAGTGAGGGTGCCAAGTCAGGCCACAGGAGTTTGAGAGTGAGGGGAGAGAGAGGGGAGGGGCAAAACCTGGCCAGTCCAAGCTGTGCCATATCACTTCTGGTTTTAGTTCTATAATTAAAGGCATCACCTTTCTTTAAAGGATTGTAAAGTGGTTTTTTATCTTTTAAATGTGTATTGGGCTATTTTTTGCATCATTCCAAGTTTTTGTCAAATGTCTGTGGTAAGGTAATTACAGAAATGCTCGACTATAAATGAGGTCACCATCACAAACACTGCTTATTATATCAAATGGCATTTAAGATAGCTACATTACACTTAGTAAATGTAAAATTACAAGCCCACCAAGACCCACAGATGTCTGACTTAAAATTGGATTGGTGAAAATCAATGCCCAGTACATACAACACCCATTTCAATGTCATGAAATAACTCATTGGATGAAAAGGATTGGAGGTAACACAAGCATTCCATTAGGTCATTGTCTGAGCTTTTAAATAGAATCAACTTCCATAGACTGTAAAATTCAATGTTTGGTTCAGCTTGGCCCTGTATCCCTGACCTTGCCTTCTGAAAGTGTTAAATATCTTAACTAAACTGTCTCTTAGCTACTGCAGCAATAATTAGTAAAATTTAGCACTAAAATTCCTAAATAATATACTCCCATCATCCACGTCCTACTTTTCCTAATTTTTGATCAGTTTTCGGATCTGCAGTAATAGCTTGAACACTAACAATGGCAGAGTTGATATTATTTTGCAAGTCTCGTAACTCTTTAATATGCAGAAGTCTAATTATTTTAGCAGCTTCGTTGATGATATAGTCTTTTGTTTCGAATCCTAAAACAGTTTGAGCGAGTGGTATAGCTTCGTCCTTCTTTGGTGGGTTTTGGTTATTTTTGATACTTGCCATGCGATCTTGAATTAGCAAACTGATCGCTTTTAACTGGACTAAATGATCACTATGGGGCGGCACTTTAAGTAGCATAGAAAGGGAGGTCACTCCTGCTTTAAAATCTGGATCATTAAAATCTAGTCTATCTAAAGGATTGTTCGAAGACCCAGCTGGTTTGCGAGCTTTGGCTTGGACACTTTCAGGGGTAACTTGTTTATATTTGTCCAGATTGTCCCCATGTTCTAACCTCACTGCATAACCCAACAACCAATCAACAACGGCTAGTTTCTCCTCTTGACTTGAACCAAAAGAATAAGGACTGTTCACATCTTTCAAATATTGTGCTACGCCATTTTCCCAGACTTTAGTATCTGCCACATTTCTCAAAGCGACTCGATCTTCGATTTTGTAATGACGAATTTTTTGGTCTTCCAACCACACAACCATATTTCTGAACTCTGTTTCATCGTCAATGTTGAAATCATCTGGTCGTTGATATTCTAAAGCCAATAATTTACGTCTAAACATGTCGAATATTGGATTTAAGAAAAATCAACCAGAAAAAATTCCCGGACACTGCAGAAATCGAGAGTAAATTCTAGGATTTCACAACGCCGGTTCTACTTTTATTTTAGTCAATAATCTTACTGATGCATTCTGGGTAACACGTGGTTCAACTCATTCGGTCATACTGAGTACTACTTTTGTAAGTTACAAAGCTGTAGAAATTGTTTGTGGTCTAATGTTTTAGTCATTAAGAGAAATGAGTCGTCGATCGCTTCGGCATAACAAAGTACATGTATGTAGTATCCAAATCATCTTCTATTCAAATGCCTGATTCGAGACTCAAGATGAATACCCAGTTACAAATGATAATATTTAGCCATTATGCCCCCCTAAACCTGGCTTCTAATCATAACTGGAAAATAAACCCCAATTCATATATCTTAACTGCCTCAATATAACTTAAAAAGATAACATGATAGGCATCTGAACTATTTCTAGATGATCGGTCTAGGATTGGGGAGTTCATGTATGTGATATATTGGTATAGTCTTCTGACTGCTTTACCATTGTCTAACTGTTAAATTCTCTGCAGTTTATGTGATGCTCAATAAGTTGCAGCCTGGTAGTGGAAGTAAACAGTTTGCTTATAATACCACCTAAAAATGTCATGTAACTACAGATCTATTGATTAATTCCATCAAAAAGAGGTGGAACCTGGGGAGGAAACTGAAAATGGGGAAACCACTACATGACTAAAAGATACCCCAAAAAACATTTCATTCTTTCAATAATTTTATTATGTTCTAAATTGACGACGTTTTTTACGTATGGCTTGAATGGTGTCAATATCCAATTCTTCTTGTTCTCCAACTTCAGGTCGAATTCCACGCTTCGACAAGATAATGCGATCACGATTCTCAAAAAATCTCAACATTTCTTCTTTCGTTTGAATTTCTTTCAATTTGGTCTCAATTTCTTTTTCTTTTTCTTGTCGTTTGTATTCCCAGATTTGTTGTTTTATTTGTCTGTCACGATCTTCAATCCAGATTGAAAACAGTTCAGTTTGTGTTTTAATGTCAGTTTCCTCATATTTTGATACATTTTTCACTAAAGTTTCCACCCTTGTTTCTAGGGAATCTTCCTTTATTCTGTTAGAAAGTTCTGACTTTAGCTTCTAAAAAAAAAAAAAAAAAAAAAAAAAATGAAATTGTATGATTTTTTTTGACAAAAAATCACTAGAATTAAGTTTTAAAAATGAATTACTCTACCACATTCAGGTAAGACTACAAAACATCATTCATAGTGACTACTCAACTAAATCATTGATTCAAAGGCTCATAGATATTATAAACAGCTTTTGTGATAATGATCTTTTAATACGCTTAGTTTTAGTCTGGTGGTAGAACCAAAGACAGCTAGCTGAATATTGGAATGGTGAAAGAAAATATATGAAAGTTTGATAAATTACTTGAAAAGCAGACCCATAAGTGTCTTATGCAGAGGACACCAATTTTGGTTATGTATTTTTCTCAAGATATTTATCACACTCAATTCTTTAAGTTGAAGACAGCCTGCTAGTTAACCCACCTTAAATCTTGTAATATAATCCTGTTTTTCCTCATTAGTAATCCTGAACTCCCTCACAGCGTCAGCCATTGTTCTTAGACCTAAATCTTTCGGTGGTTCTTCCGGGTTCCTGGTTTCAGCTTTCTCTAGACTTTCTTCAAATTTTAAAACCTAGAAAAAAATTTAATATTTCCATTGATATGATATTATTCAACCATATTGAATCCAGCATAGTACTATAAACTAAAAAACGTAGCAATGTTTCACTGCAGTAAATTGCCATTGAGATCTCTTTATCACCTCCTAACATCAAAATTTGTAAGTTATTGCAGTGCCTTGCTCAGATTCTAATCTTGATGCTTATCGGTATTGTATCGCCTAATTATTTATCCATTTGTAATAAAGATATTATTATCAAATTATTAAATGTAATCTTACAGCTTCTTCTGCTACTAGAGTGTTGTCTTTCGATTCTGCCCATTTCTCCAGTAGATTCATTCCCTTCTCAAACTTCTGATACAAGCCTAGACCTAAGAACTGTAGACTTTGACTGAGTATTGAATCCTCAGCACAATTTCTTCCTAGTGTATACAGAGTTTTACCCATTAGAAACCTTTCGTCTTTTATATCAAAGTGATCATCGTACACGATATATCGGATAATACCAACTGGTATCCAGTCTTCTTCCTGGAATATAATTATTTAGTGTCTAAATCACTTAAAAAAGTAAAATATTAATCATATATAAAAACAAATAACTGTGATTGTCACAAAGCACTCATATGTGGCAAGTCTTGAGTTGAAAGGCCGAATAAAAAATTAAGGCTTATTCTCTCCATATATTATACAATATAAAACAATAGCCCTTCCCCTTTATTAAACTATTAATAAAATTTACCTCATCTGGGTTGACCTCTGGTTCTGGGGGCGGGTCTAAGCTAATGTCATTATAATGATTGACACAGCTATGTAATGATAATAAATAGGTGATAGGGTGGCTGAAATCATCTTGTAACATCATTTCATAGGCTATCTGGGAGGATGCTGGAATAATAAATATAGTGAAAGGGTGTGGTTCAGTACAACCAAATTAACCTGGTCAGTCTTGTGGACTTGCTTAGTTAACAAAATACCAAAGTCTCTTCCACAAAGATTCAGAATTGACCAAATGTAAACTTTCTTAAAGATATACTGAGATGACAAATAATCAATACTCTCCAAAAGAGATACTGAGTCGATAAACCTCAAAACCTAATTAAAAAAAAAGATTTATAAGCTTACCATTGTAATCTTTGTTTTTAATGAAATGATCCATGATTAAATTAACTGCATGGGGATTGGGAAATATACCATACATACTCTAAAATATAAACCATTAGAAAATAAATACTATAGAGGTAACATTTCCTATATTGTCACTATAAGGCTTCTTGGTTTTTTTTGATGAACCTCATAGTGAATTGTTACATTGTTAACTGAAAAATATCATGGAAAATTTTGGAGAAAATGACCACAGACCTTGTTTTTCATCAGATCTATAAGTCTATCAGCTATTCCTAGATCTAGATAGGCACGAACTATAGCATAGACAATACAATCATTAACAGGTACACTGACAGATGACTGTCGATACCTAGAAATAGTAAAATAAGTATCAGATTTTAACAACACGTAGAAGTAAGAAGCACATATAACAAAAGTAAATACACACACATATAAAGGTATAATTCCTTCTGCAATAATGAAAAATGTGTAAATTGTGATGAAACGTTATATACTTCGTTATTAAAAAAGAGAGTTGAGACCATAATAAATCCCTTTGTTTCCTTTTTCTTATGGTGCATAATGTAAGCTTACTATTTCCAATTAGTTTGTGGCTTTCAGATGTGTTGAGGCTGTTTGAGTCAAACCAAAGAGTTGAGATAAATTCAAACAAATCCATAAAAACAAATCCCTGAAAATAATACCAAATCTTACTTTCTGATTAAATCCTCCATATACAGTGCATCACCTTTCTCCATTTCATGTAATTTGTTTGCCAGCTGAAATTACAATCATATTTTTCATTTTTGAATATCTAAAAGAATAACAGAGTAAGAAAGTCAAGAATAGGAGAGTACCCTTAAACAAAGACAGATTAACAATGGTCCTATGATTTTCTGCAGATAAAGCACAAAAAAAGTTATGCTTAGTTTAACCAAGAAACATATTCTCCGGACATGTCTGTTTATTCGTCTAAAATGTCCGGTTGCAAATAGTTTCTGTTGGATTTCAAGTATAAGTCACAGAAAAAATACGAAAAGTTAAATATTTCATGATGCTTACCACATTCATATCCACTAACATTGCCTTAGATTTATCAAATTTACTTCTTAAATCTACAGCAAAGTCATCTGCAAAATCAAATTCTTTTTGTTAGCGTGATACATCAGATTGACTTTATCAACTTAGACAACTCTCTAAAAGGAGTAGCATGTATGCAAGCTTAAATGTAGAGTATTAAATCGGTCAAAGATCTATCTCCATTGACACAAAAAGTTCTTGAAGGATTTTAATGAAGACTTTCAGAATAAAATTTCGAATATGTTCTTTATTAAATGAATAATTAAATGAGTGAATGAAATACTAGGTCTACAGTACTATGAAAATAGATCTTACTTAAATCTACTTTTTGTAAATAGTCTGAATTCAGTCGTTGAGTCCAGGCATCTTGACACTTGTAGGCTTCTGATAACATACATCTTCTGGCTGGAAAGTATAATCATTTGCTGTATTGATATAAATAATACAGATTGAGGTAAAAATGATATCCTCAGTATAAAACACAAAGATATTTGTGGCTGGGTAGGAGACAAGAACTGAGGTCATTTAAATTATCGTACTGCCAACCATTCTTAATCTTTGAATCTCTCTCACCTTTGTTTATTTTTGCAGCAATGTTTCTAAACCCAAAGTACAGTTCCATATAAGCCTGTGGGGAGGTAAGAGTTCCTAGGACAGTGATGATAGTGTGACACTACTACTGACACTGTGGTGTTCAGTACTAACTCACTATTCAAAGCGTTGTGCTATTGTGTTTAAAAAGCAGACGATATAAAGATTTAAGAGTGCATTGACTACAAAGAAGATAAAGGCATGCATTCTTTAGCTCATACCTGAAAATGACAGGGATCTCGTTGATATTTTAATCAGTTTTAACCTTGTGGCTAATGTTTTAGTAAAATGTGCTGCCATTTTGTCATAACGGTAGTCCTTTTCTTCCTCCTTTTGGTTAATTCGTTTAAGGGAGGTAATTCAGCTTCATTCGGATTACATCGTACTTCTCAAAATCATTTTTGAAAGTAAGTACAAGAGAAATGAAATGAAAAGGTCTGTGCCAAAATCGTTTTAATTCACAACAGTCTGCGTCCAAGGACTCAAAGTGACACCGAAACAAGACAAGATAGTTGGATAGCTCGGCAAAAATACTGATGAACTCGCCTTCTCACCATAATGTCACACTCACTCTCGCCTCGGCTCAGTTCTCTTCTATACCTCTTTACTCTTACTTGGTTAGGCAAGTTTTTGTCTTCTGAAACTGTAAGACGATTAGGCTTATATCCTGTACGAGGAATCTATACCCACTTGGGCTTAAACATAAGTTTTTTATGCAAACAGCTTTTGGGTCAATATGACCCGAGTCACGTTAGCGCGGGTGTTACCTTGACCCAGCCTTGACCTAAATATACGTGTTTCCAGGAAATGACGTCAAAACGTAAATAAACTTTTATTTTCCGTGAAAATGTAATCAGCTATCTATGAAATTCGCGAGTCTGAAGACTTCGCTATTGTTTTTATATGGCTTTAGTGTCGGTGTTGTTTTGTTTTACCTCCAATTCAGACGCGGAATCGTCGAATTTATTGAACAGAGAGTAAGTTTTGTTCCCACGAATCAAAGCAAGTAATTAAACTTTAAATAAATGTCAGAGCCATATCCATAATTTTAATTTTTACCCGTCCAAACTTACTTCAGAGAGAGAAAAACTCAAGCCATATAAGGATTGAGATATAAGCAGATCTTTTGGATCTCATAAAAACTATAGGCCAGTCCTGCAAAGTGAAAACAGAGCCCATAGCACTAGTAGGCCTAATCCTTCTACATGAACTAGGCTAATGTCTAGCTTTGGATTGGGCAAGGTTATTATAGCTTGATAGGGTATTATTGGTATCATTGCTTGAAATGACAACCAAATAGTCCAAGTTTTATGTTAGCAAGCAATTTATTCTTTAGAACTAAGCTAAGAGCATGCCTTTATGGTTAGGCTAACTTAAAAATATCCAGGTCTAAAAAATGGAAAGCCTCCCAAAGTTAATGCCTTTAATCTTTATCAAGTCTTTGTCTAATCTAATAACTTTCATAAGATCAATTTGTGCTTTCAGGAACAAGACAAAAAACGAGTTGCAAAACCAAAACATGAGGAATCTCCTTCATTAGATGACCTTGAATTAGAAAATAAGTCTCTGACGGTTGAGAGATATTTCTATCATTTAAGAAATAATTATAAAAACTCAAAACATCAGACACCTATTGTTGAGGTAAAGAAAGTCAAGAAGGAAGCTGGACCTGAGTTAACTTCCACTGGGGAAACAATACGTCAAAGCCTCGATACTGAATATGGAGACCAAATATCATTACACTACTTTGAATCATTCCAGACTCTGCAAAATGAAAGTTGCGAGGATTTTGGTTCGGAATTTGTTTCTTGTTATCCAAGTGAGATTTCAGTCTTCAAAAATAGATCGAGCTTTAGTTCAATGAGTAACATCAGAAACCAAACAAAAAGTTTGCCAATATTTTCTACGAAGGATAAGAAATTAAAGATAAATAAATCAGAACCAAGCAGACGTCCTAGAGCTATGGATGAAAAAGATTTTGAAACATTTGCTAAAGAACGTTTGAGAATGCCGAGTACAGTGTTCGTCACCCCGTATCCTCTTCATATCATGTATCGAAAGTTACGGAAATCAGCCACCCATTCCAGTCACGTAGACTTTGGATTCTACCATCCATTGATTCTTCCTGAAAATGGAACGGCTGTCAACTCAAGAGTTAATTCTTATCATATCTTTCAAAATACTTTATACAGTGAAAAATACGGACCAGACTTAGACTTGAGGTCTGTTCATCCTAACGACTATCAGCTAGATTCCACACTCAGTCACCAGTTCCAAGAATTATTATGCATGTTAATTAATGAATATGTTTCTAGAGAAAGTTGGGTAGAGTGTTATTACTGCCCATCTAAAACAATTCCACAGGTTACTAGGTATATAGTAGACTTACCACAATACAGACTCTTTATAGAACCGTTATTTTTCAATGCAAATTCCAAAATTTCTCATTTTTTATCAGAATATTACAAAATTGTACAAAATCCTTTTTGATTTAGTGGTAATAAAGTAACTAATAGTGCTTACTGGTAAATGGTAAACTTATCAAATAAACATTATTAGCAATGTGAATTCACCAAAGAGAAAATATAGTTGAAAGAATTGGCTGCAGAGTTATATCAGGTGTTCTGAAGTGGCAAGGAAGGCCACATCCTCCTACATCCTCCCTCCATCTTTTTCATCTTTTTGAGTTTGAAATTATTGTAATTTCTCGTCATAAGTTTTTAAGTGTAACTTCATTTATAATCTCATTTTATTTGAAAAGGTTTATCCTGTGTGAAAAATTTCAGATACAAAAAATGTAACAAAATAGTTTGGTATAAAAAGTAATTTCATAATTACTTCATAACATTCTGATGTTAACAATAACGTTGTTGACTAAATTGTGGAAAATATAATCTCAAGGGAGAAAACTTGACAAATATCATAGTTTAGTTGACAATTCTTCAAGGAACCTATACAATTTATAAGCTTATCACTCCAGGGGTTTCTATCACCATGTGATGTCATGGGTTTCAATAAGCATGTCAACATCTCATAGTTTAGCACTTCAAATGCAGTAAGCATTGCATGAATCGTATTCCAAGTTAAGTAGAATTAAGTTCATGTACTATCATCCATTTTCACAGTTGACAATTTAGAATTAAATACCGTGTACCATCAAATTCACTGGGCATGTTAATAAATAATGTGGTATAACATTAATTCAGACTACCAAATCTAGAGAAATTATAATCTCTATTAGATCCTGTATTACTATAGGTTTGAGTTGTAGTGTGACCATTTTGACCTCTTGTCGTGTACATACAGGCCGTAGATCTATAGTCTGCCTCACTGCTGTTCATAGTGGTATTGGGGGACCCGATATTATGACTTGGGGTAGGAGGACCAATATTTTGAACAGGGGAAGAGGGTACAATGTTTGATTTTTGAGGGGATGGGGATATATTGAAATTAGTGTAAGCAGAATAATTAGGATATTGGTTTGAACTCTGTACAGTCATCTCACTAGAGTAGGAAGGATTCGTTATTGCAGACTGACGATATTGTTTATATGGTGAATGTTCGGACACTGGTGCTGGCACAAACTGTGAAGGACTTTCACGACTGAGTGAATATCCACTCTCAAGATATTGTCCTGGATGAGACGGGAAGGGGTTTGTTTTCAATGGACTATAATTTCGAAGAGTTTCAATAGGTGGGACTCTTTCATTAGAAGAATAAGGACCCATCAATGCACTTCCTGTCACAGAACTCTGGGAAAAATTTGAGAAATGATGATTTGACAGCTCTGGTATAATCTCCCCCATAGGTTTTAGGTTTAAATTGTCACACACTGCCAGTTTCTCAGTTGAGCTTTTTTCTAATTTCACTGGTTTTTGAACTACAGATTCAGCACTTCTGGCTGCTTCACTTGCACTGATAGACACTTCTTCATAAAACTTCCTATATACTGGTTGAACTGTGTTGAATTTAGGGGTGTCTGCGGTTGATTTATTTGGGGTATGTTTCTCTGGTGACGATGTCGTCACCTCACTTTTTATATCCTTTTTGTCTAGGGGTAACTTTTCACTTACAGATGTCTGTGTTGTAATTTTTATCTTTTTTGTACCACCTTTTTTAGGTTTTTTTTGTGTTATGTTTTCAACACTAGATTCCGATTTATTTTGAGTATTAATTTTCAGTTTTATTTTCAAATCACCCTTTTTCTCTTCAGTGCCTGCTAAAGACGGATCCTTTTTAGGTTTAGGAGTTCTCTTTCTAGGAGTTTTAGGAGAACTTTCCCCAGATTCTTCTGTTCCTGCTGTTTTCTTCTTTTTATTATGTTTAGCTTTATGATTAGCTAAATGATATTCAGAAACAAACACTTTATAACAAACATTACATCCAAACCCGTCAGAATCAGCAATCGCTTGCTGTTTTTTATGTGATTCAATATGCCGCTTCACTTGAGAACTACTTTTAAAACGTTTTTCACATAAATGACAGGGATAGGGCTTCTCTCCTGCAATGATATAAAATGTTAATTAAAATAAGTTTGAAATGTGCATAAATAAGGCATCTCAATATGTCAGGGCACTGCTAATATCCACAATCAAAGAAGCTATATAAACATGTTGTTCAGCCATGAAGTCAACTGATTTAGATTTCACTGTTGAATGAAAACATCAATAGACATTATCAATTCATAATAATTTTTTCCACACCCCATGGCATAACAATAAATAAAAAGGTGGCACTTAAGAAATTTGAAGATAAGACTGACAAAATACCTGGTATACATATATCTCATAGTTAGAGCTGTGCTTTACAAACAAAATAATAAATTGAAAGTTCATAATTGGAACTTGGTGCCATAGCCTTGTCTTTGACAATTACTCTGCTTTGAAAATATGACTCAAATTCAAATCTGACCATCGCCGCCATCTTGCATCAATAATTGCAGGTACAGACTGATAAATCAAGTTGTAAGTACATACCTGAATGAATCCGTTCATGAAGTTTTCGTTTCTCTGAACTACTGAAACCTTTAGAACAAACTGAACATAGATATGGTTTCTCTCCAGTATGTGAACGGATGTGAACAGTTAATTTATGTTTACGTATGAACGTCTTTCCACATGTACCACACATAAAAGGACGTTCGCCAGTATGCGAATATTCGTGACGAGTTAAATGATGAGATCGTGTGAAACTTTTAAAACATGTCGTACAAACGTAAGGTCTATCACTCGAGTTACTCTTTGTTACTTTTGGTTTTTTGATTTCTGTTGTCACAACACCGGTGGTCTGTTTGATTGGTTGCTGGGCTTTCCGTTTATTCCGTCGCGATGATGAACTAGAGCTACTCTTCTGTGATGAAGTCCCGTCTGAATCTTTTTCTTCTCCATTTTTCTGACTGTCTGAAGATGTTGTGGTAGTTCTAAATTCTTCTTCTGTTGTGTCATCTCCTGATTTCGATGGACTGCCATTATCTGCCATTTTCTGAAACTAAATGCCTGAACTAATTACTAACTAATCAATTAATAATTAAACATAGTTGATCACCATGTAAAAGGCATGACTTGGATCTGAACATCCCCTTTGGCGAAGCCATGTATAAATATTTTGTGAAGACTTTAGGCAATTAGGGCCTACTGCATATCATAATTTGAACCTGTCCTTGATAATCTTTGCTATGACTTGATGTGTGTAATAATATTAGACCTATCTGTGTATCAATTCATAATTATATTAAGCAAATTAATTATTCACAGAAAGAATATTTATCCTACTATAATTATTGACTCTCGTTAGAGAATCTGAAAAATAAATGTGATCAAAAATGGTAGTCCTATTCATGGAAACTGGTGAAGGGAGGAATTAAAAAGAGGGCAAACAACTTCATGTCGAATAAAGAAAGAGCGACTCGAATTCAACTTGGAAAATGGTGGTGGTGGGACCAGCAGGGATCCAAGTTATTCGTCCTTGACAGCCATCTTCTTGTAATTTGAAGCCTAAACATCAATTTTCTCAAATAGATAAAATGTCTCAAACAATTTGATGACAAAATTCAATGAAATAAAGGACAAAATAAAAGAACAAAGTTGAAAACTAAAGTTTTGTTTCACTCACGCCCTAAATCTCTTAAATTCACCGGAAGTTAATATACTACGGATTGACTACTGAATTCTAGGCCCTATGAAAAATGGAGTTGTCTCCCTTAGACCATTAGTCCATAGAGATACGTTGTTAATCAATATACAGAGCAATATTCAAGTCAATTTACAGAATTTACCCTTTCACTGAACAAGTTCACAACAATTTCTGAAATTTGTTCATATACTAAAAGGTGTTACTAATCAAACGCCTAAATTTCAAGATAAAGAATCGGATTCTATGCATGCATTGCAGTCGGCGACAAATAACTCCGGTATACTTATTTTCTCCAAATATTTTGCTCTGACCACTCTGGCACAATAATTACTCAAATTGATGTAACCGGTCAACAGTAATCGACATGCCATAATAGACGAGGCCTAAGCGAGTCATGTGAGAAACCAAATTTATTTAATTGAATGTTGGAGTTCTGAGTAGCAAGGGTTCGAATTTCTGAATTTTGTAAGATCTTGTAGCATCTTGTGGCATTTTGACCTTGTGTTTTATAACTTTTATTGATTGAAAGATAATCATGTAGAATGTAATTGAGAATAAAGAAGATTAAATATAGATAGGAGTATTGAATGTGCTTACAGCTTACAACTCACGGAATACCATCAGACAAACAAACATTCAGTTGGTCCCTCATATTGGACAGAACGGACACCATTTTGGTAATTCCTTTCACGGTTCTAGACACAGACAGGTCCGTAGGGGAGCAACAACTGGATTAACCCATGAACAACTATGACTACTGACCAACTTCATTATTTAAAATAAACCATACCCCATTACGATCCGGGTATATTACTTGCATCCCCGAACAATCAAGTCTGGCTACGAGCCTGGGCACAGAATTGTCGAATTGTCAAGAAAAAAGCATTCCCAATGTAAAATGGTTATTGGAGTTATGACGAGGGGTTGGGGGCGAGGGCATCCGCCGTAGAAACAGAGTAGTCTATCGTTGTATTATTTCCCTCCATGAATATCAAGTTTATAAACATATCTGATTGTTCCTTCTAGTGACTGACTATTGTTTGCATGTCACGGAACCACCCAACTGGTGCCGACAGTTTTATGAAATAAAAAATCCGATTAAGGGAGTTTCTTGTCCAAATATTGTCTGTGAATCATAGAAATATAAAAACATTGCCGCCATCTCTTTTACTAGTTCATATATTATCAAAATACACAGCGATCAACAGTCATAGTACAGCTTGTTTCACTTCAGGACTGAAACAAATTTCAAAATATCCTCAGGCAAATAGGCTACCAAATAGATCAACCAACTGTATACAATTTTGGTGATTGAAATTTTGGAATATTCGTAAAATATAAAGGTAAGAGATTGATATAATTACTTTTTTTTATTCTTTTTTCTAATGAGTTGTACGTCTGGCTTTCGTGGCTGTTTTTACTTTGGACAATGGCGCAATAAGCCAAATTTTGTCCAGACATAGCTCCACTTTTCTCAATAACATACCTTCCAGACTAAGACAAGATTTCTTCACCATGATTGACTTTCTGACCTGGTTTGTATTAAATATACCAAGCCAGTCGAAACTGCTTAGATTGGGCAGGGCAACTGTGACGGTGCTAGCCTCCCAAGCAGTGGCGGAGCGAAAGGGGGGGGGCAGAGGGGGCAGCCACTGCTCCCAAGAGTGGGGGTACAAGCAGAGGACAGACTGTCTCCTCTGTACCCCCAATGGAGCTACCACTGCAGCACAACAACACATCACGGATTTGATATCGCCCTACCCGAGAGGATATCAAGTCTGGGGAACTGGAAGAGCCACATCCAGCCATACCTAGTTCTTTATACATTATATACGGGTAAAAATAATGAAAAAGAAAAAAAAAATATCCTCTTTCTCTACTCGTGTGAGGAAACTTGCTAGACCTAGATTGTTGGGTAAGTGTCAGTAGCATCACAGAGACAGCATAGCATCACAGAGACAGCATAGCATCACAGAGACAGCATAGCATCACAGAGACAGCATAGCATCACAGAGACAGTATAGCATCACAGAGACAGTATAGCATCACAGAGACAGCATAGCATCACAGAGACAGTATAGCATCACAGAGACAGCATAGCATCACAAAGACAGTATAGCATCACAAAGACAGTATAGCAGCACGGGATTTAGTTTGATCCTGTCTTGAGGCTTGGGGAATAATCCGGTTTTAATTTACTCAATATTATAATTACCAAGATAAAAGTGAGAAGTTCCATCGTGGAATCAATCAGAGCTGGTTCCATCATATTGATAGATTGTGTCTGACACGCACTATGGAACCATCATTCCTGTAACAGTCTGAGAATAGCTCACTAGCTCCTGGTGCAATTTGCTAGAATGTGGAAAATTTTGAAGTTTGAAAAATAGATGCAACCGCAAATTTTGTGGTCCTTTTTGCTCTATGAATTACAAACACTAAAGTTTGAATGTGGAATTTGAAAAAAACCAATCTGATGCAAAGTGACATGTTGGAATAGAGCCAAGCAAAGTGGAAATGATGTAATGAAGGTTTTGAATATTTCGACTGATATTAGGAGTAAATAGTAAAATATCAATTAGCAGGAATATGGAAGCACTGATAGAAAGAGAGTTTGATATGGTATGTTTATTTTGATATTTTGTTTTTCAGATTTTCTCCAATTTCCTTCTCAGCTCAATTTGGAACAGTAGCACTATGGTAAGCTCTCCACCTTACCGAGGAAATTAAAGTCGAGTATTTGACTCAGGGATATGGATATAAGCGGATACATATTCTTTGTCAGTTGAGATAATGGAATCAGCTACCCGAATCATTTTTTGGAATGACATCACTCTCGACTAACGACTATAAACTAAGTACCTATAAGAGGTCAAGTTTCTTGGCAGTGTTATCAACGGCAAATCAGCAAGTAGATATAAATATCAGTAAATATATATCAATTTTAAAGTCTGTCTGTGATTTGATGGTTGACCAACGTAGACATGTACAAGTTCGATTTTAGCTTAATACGACAAACGAATTAATTAAATGATTTTTCTGGGGGTTTTTTTCAGCATTTCTCAGAATGGCTCAATCATTCCAACGTGGCTAACTATATGTTTCTCATGCAATCTTCAAATTACACAGTAAGTAACCTGTATACTGTACATATAATATAAATGATTGCATATATATAAATACACCCAGTAGCCTACTAACGATCAGCAAAACAAAACCCGAAATCAAAACAACATTGGTATACTTATAACCTATAATATAATGCTATAATAACCTTTGACCAATTTAGTTAAATCTATATCTACATGACATGCATTCTACATTGTATTCGCAAACTATGCCTTTAATCATTCAAGAGTGTTGCTAACCTCTGTATTTGTATCGGAAACACTTTCCTGTGGTTCCTCTGGATCCCGAATAACCAGATACGCTCGTATTAACTGGTTGTCCCATTCCATTCCAGGTTTCGTCAACCGATGAACATTATCTAGTAAGAATCACTCTAACCGGTTGTGGTTTGTCTCTAGTAGGATGTATAATGACATTGTTTATTATCTGTTTTCTACCGTGAGTACTTTCTTTTGGCAATTTCAAACATAAAAGACATATGGTCCTATTAACCATTGGCTCAATATGAAGTTTAGAGCTCAGCAATCCATATCACTTTTTATAATTAGGATTTGTTTAATTACTTTATATGTTTCACGATACTATTTAGCTGGTGAGTGTTTGGCCCCGAGTCTTTAGATTCGTTTATGTCTATAGGATGTAAGTCACCAAATTAGAGGGCCAAGGTATTAATCAAACATAAAAACCTTCTTATATCCGTATCAGACACCATTCTACTCTCAATTTAACACGTGTGACATTCAGTCTGGGGCTGATAAACTTTTATATATTTCAGTCGCCAGAAAGGAGATGGTCCGTTTATAGTGGGTAACTTGGCTACAGCTATATTACTATCGCAGCTCTCGTTTATAGGCGCTGAGAATGCTTACCCTACAAAGGTAATACTTTAACTCAACTTGTTGATGGTTGTCCTAAACAGTGTAATCTCCTCAAGCAGTGGCTTTTCTATGAATCATTATGCGGGGACACAAAATTGTCAAAAGAAATCTGTCCCATTTAAACCATATCCCCCATAAACCAACATCCTCTCTGAACCGGTATATTTCAGAATCTCGGCCAAATCACTTTAAAATCTGAAGAAGAATAACCATGATAAACCGGCCCACCCAGTGGCGATTCTACGTCCATGCCATACTCCCCAATCCCCTGCTCGCCCCTCACCTGATACTTCCTTGAAACGCACCTGGGTACACCTTAACACCCGAATTCAGTGTTGAGATCAGATTCGAAACAGGCTAATCTATAGTATTATATTTCAGACTTGGTGTAAAGTAGCTACAGCTATTCTCCACTATCTCTTTCTCTCTATACATTTCTGGTCTCTGTGTTTCGCTCTACATCTTATGATGAAGGTAAGCAAATTGCCGACCTGTCAAACGTTTTTATATAAAAACAAAACTACCGTTGTTCAAGCCATACCTTATCACCATGATCTACTTCAGATGCTCTCATCGCAAGCCATACGTGTTTACCCCCTGTAGTTCCAAAAATAAATACCAATTCAATTTGTCATCAAGTTTCCAGATGTATTCTTGCAAGACTCAAAAGACATGTTAATTCTTTTAAAATGATAAATTGTGGGATTGATTCAAACTACAAAAGCTTTGAATTCAGTTTCTGTTATTTGTTTTCAGTTGATTGGAGTTCTGCAGACTGAGAAATCTAAAAGAAGACTGTTACATGTTACTACTGGATGGTTATTGCCCACCTTCATTGTTGGACTCACAGCTATAATTAGAGGCGACACGTACGGCACTGAAGTCATGTAAGTTATGTTCAGAATCTAACATGGTTTGTAAGTTTCTTAAGATATCGATCCAAAATAATAATAAAATGCATAATTGGTTAACCGTTAGTCTCGAGTCGGTGTCAGAATTACACCCCAAATAAGATATACAGGTAGCATTATTACAATCACGTGACAAACCAGACTTAAAAAAATGACCAGGTAGCAAGACTTACCCAGGATAATTCCGAGGCGGATTCGGATTTACGGAAATTGCAAAGAGCTTTAATTTATATCTGATGTCATTGAGTGTTTGGGTTGGTCAACTACATTCCCTACAGCGAGAGGGAGCACAAGCACGTTAAATTTTATTTGGTATTCTATTCTATATTTCAGTTGTTGGTTGACAGCAGTACACAAAACAAGATGGGCGTTTCTGGGTCCGATCTATGCAATCATGATGGTAGGTTCAAACGTTATGATTGGCCATTAAATTGTTTTCTTTTGTACAGGAGTTGGCTGTGATATATTTACAACAAGCACTGGTTTTGTGGCTTCATTTCACTCCTTGTGTGTCTTTTTCGTGCAACAAGGATTTGTAGATACACATTTTCCTTAATTTATTGTTCTTTTATTTGATATTGATTGTAGGAAATTAAAATTGTAGATTACTAATGTAGATTGTCTTCATTATTTTATCTTTATTATTCAGATAAATTTCTCAGTGACAATCATTATGTTGATAGCTCGAGCTCTTCACGACAACAGAAAACTAGTTCCATGCATGAAAAGAATAAAGTGAGTTTTTGTCATTACTTCCTTAAAATGGAACCTTTTATGAAGTAATTTTGTTTCATAGATTTTGTGTTGTTCAAGTCATTAATAGTTTTTTGGTAATAACGATAACATAGTCTTGGGCAAATTATTCTGATACTATTCTTCGAGTTTGCTTCTGTATAACAAACAGTACAAGCCAGACAATTCCGCCAATCAAAAATCTAGTCCAAAGAATGGCAAAATCAAAGGTAAAGGTAGAATAGTAGTGGAAACCTATAAAGAGAAGTACCTTCAGGTGTTTCGAAAAGATTAAGCATGGTCTGCTTTGCACTCTTACCTGTAAAATCATTCAACCAGATCCTACTCTGTATGTTAAATCCATACTCCTAACATGATCTGTACAGCACATTGTATTCCCATTGTTATTTTTAGGCATCTATTACTGACGTTTACGACTCTGGTACCAGTACTGAGTTTAACCTGGGTTTTTGGACTGGCATCTTCTAACAACATGTTTTCTCAATATCTCTTCGTTATGATCAACTCCTCACAGGTAGTTATCCCCATTGTTTCTTGGAGCAGCGTTGAAATTTTAACACGTCTACATAAGATTAATATAGTGATATAAGTATACAATGGTGAAAGCCTTTTGATATTGAAATGCATATAGCAAAGTATCCCGATTCAGAACAAATATATTCATAATTTTTTGTTTAAACCCAGTTCAGAATGGGTGAAATAGTTTAAGGACGCAATAGGGAAGAGCAGAATTGAGAGGGCGCGAACTGGTATGAGCTATAGGGAGGACATTATGTTTATAATCATTATTTTGTTGTTTGTTGATCATCTCGATGTTTATTTTGATAATTTAGGGTTTATGGATACTGGTGGGTCACATGATGTTCAGTTCTCCAGTCAAAGCTCTTCTTCTAACCAAAGCAATCGGTGTGGACAAGAAAGACAAGAAATCGAAAAAGAGGAATCCAGATGACAGTGCTTCCAGTGAAGAGGTCAGCGAGGATTTGACCAAATCTTCAGACTTAGCAGGACAAACTGGCGAAAAGGAAATTAAAAAACATTAAAATTTATGTCCATGATTTCGTGAAGAGGTAACTCTTGGGACCAAATGTGAACGTAGTTCAAACTAGAGAGAATTTTTATGTCCTGCACTTTGGGTTGTAGAGCTTTTGTGTATTTTTTGGTTGCTTTACATCCTTACACATGTCACTATTCGGCGACATTCGTACTTTATCAACTCACTCTTTTGCTTCACTTTTCATACACTATTCCAGTCATAATTATGTTTAAAAATGATAATTGAATGAGATTCTGCATCGACAACAATCTCCGTAGTTCTTTCAATAGAGATCGAGGAAAATAGCTGGCAAATAAGTTTCTATGTTTCACACATTTCAACTTTGCCAATTCTGTTCCTGCAGTTGATCTTAAAAGCGGATATTGGCAGTTAGACAATTGAAAAAGTTATCTTGGCTAAAATCAGGTTTCTTGTAAACGATTCCGGTATGAGCATGTGAAACGTTGAGTTAATAAATGTCAGAAATAGTATATCTGTATGTCTTGTGCTTCTTAACCTATGTCTATTTCTCTATGTATTAGAAACAGTAAATAATATATATCTGGTTGTAATTTCAGACAGAAGAACTACAATATAACTGTCCAGCAGAAGCATCACCCCTCAGACAAACCCCAAAACCACCACGCCCACCTGCACCACCCAGGATACAAGTTGATACAGTCTTTCATATGACAGGAGATGGTGGACCTTCAGAAATACCTCATGGAGGTCTGGAAACTAAACTTACATAAATTGGTGTTACATTATCATGAGCAGCGCATTTTACAAATTCCTGTATGAAAATCAGAAGATGCATGATCCAAACATCTTTATCTAATATAACAAAAAAGATCAACAAGATGTTACCAAGATGCCAGAAAATTCTTCTCTTTCCTTTGAATATGACCATTATACAAGCCCTTCCATAGAATAATGGTGTCAGCTTACACCAGACTAATTGCAACTGAGCTCATTTCAGAATTCAATTAGAGCAGTTATTCAAACAAATAAAAATAAATAAATACAATCCCTTTGGCCTGAAAAATGTGTATTATATCAAATATTTGTATTATATCTTCTATTGTTTGTAATTAGTATCATGAATATTCAATAAAAAATTATTTAAAGCCTTTATTCTCAATGAAGACAAAATACTTAACAACTAAGAGGGTTGGTAACCTTGGTAATACCTATAGATAGTTCCAGTCTGTCAATCAAAGTTACTATGGGAGAATGGATTATTATCCTCAGAACTATCTATTGTATAGATAAATATGGTATATTAATTATTTATTTCACAAATTACACACGTACATACAAAACAAACACTAAACACAGATATATTAATGTTATGAAGACACTGTATAGATTTATTATTCATAAACTACAGTTTATTATTTCTACAAACAAGGTTGATAATAAATAAACATACAAATATATCACAGTTAATAAATGCTGGAGAGGTCAAGGAAACAGTCACTGTTATAACTATTATTCAATAAGAAAGCTGAACAGACTCAGATTTCAGAAATCATATTTAGCAGCTTGAGCTCGTCAATTCAAAATACCTTTTAGAATGTCCAAATGACTCTTAATATTAATTGGATATTTCAGAGTTTCTACATAATTTGCAATTATTGGGTTCAATTTTACATCCTAGGCTTCTACATTATATTCTTGTAATTTAATGTATGAGTATATATAAGTTCTGTAGATTAAAAAAATAAACGAAATTCTAGTAAAAAATAACTAGAAGAAAACTAACATAGAGTATACCTTAAATTTCTTAAACATGTGGGCCTACAAATGAATCTAAAAGATAACTGTCCAGCAAAAATGAACCATCATCTAGTTTGGACTCGGGGTTTAGTTTAGACACCAATGGACGGAGTAAGAACATTCAAGATTTGGAACAGTAGATATTTGCAAAAAATAGTAGAAAAATTGGTTGTTTAATTAGCAGTTTTTACAGTAGAGTGAATGTAAGGCTTCAAACACTAGAATATAACATGGACTTCAAAACAATCAGGTTCATTCTGGATCTCATGTTCTGAGAGGAATTAATATATCCCATAATAATACTTAGTAATATGCACTATAGGTGATAAATGCTGCCTGATTTCAGATGAAATATCAATGCTACGTTTCCATAGAAACAGTTTGACGGATTAATTCACTGCGTTCCTCTATTTTATCTACCATCATTTCCACCAATGGCTGTACGAAATTCTGACAATGTAACGTCTTTTCACATTTTTTAATCCATTTCTTGTCTTCTTTCTTCTGTCTTAGAATGTCTTCCTATCAATGAAATGAAAAATATCTTAAAATAACATTTTAATGTCTGACACTACCTGAAACTGATCACCACTTTCAAAATCTTTATAAACCTGGTTTAAATAAAAATTAACAAAGTTCTTTACAGACATTTTCCAGAATCACCAAAAGAAAAATTTGAAAAAGATTCCAAATAATTTTAGCATGTTACAATCATGATAGATTTTGGTAAAACTTTTACAAAATAATATTCCACAAATTATGCCCTCTTTAAAGACTCAATACCTTTTTCTGATCATATCATCTCTAAAACAATGTGCAAGAAATACTCCCAATTCCTTACCTCTGACTGTGAATTATGGCTCTCACTCATAATATCTTCAATATCTGATTGGCTGAGATTAAATAAATCACGTGCTATAACTTTAGCTTGTTCTAGAGTTGGGTCGTGAGGTTCCTTGGCTCGTTCACTTGCTGATAATTTACTTCTCATTTCTCTTCTAGTTTCATCGACACGAGATAGCAATTCACAGCTTAACATCTAGAAATATATCAATCAATTCATACTCTTATTTCAAGCTTGAACAAATTAAAAAGAGGTTGTGGAAAATTTGAATATGTACAGATATTGAGAAACATTAAGCTTCTACAATCTACTTTGTTAAATTTAATAAAACACGTAGATAAACTGAAGTTATGAAGAACTGTATTAACTATATACTTTATTAGGTTGTCCAATCTGTAGCAACTCTGTATTTTGATTTTTTTTTTATAAGTATCATTCGCAACATTCCCATTTCCTCTACAATTTAATTAGATCCTATACGTCCAGAGATTTTGTAAAGTTTCTCAAGAAATAAAGGACTTTGGATGAGAACCTACATGGTAAAAAATATAAGCTATAATGTTGAATCATTTTATTAAAATTCACTCTATTAAATTGGTTTCTACTCCTGAATTGTAAAGTTAGAATTAACCTAAAGATTTTACCTTAACGAACTGTTCAAATTTCACGACTTTTTCCTTAGCATTAATAAGTTGTAGTTGAAATGAGTCAATAGTTTGATCACTCTGAGAGGCCACACTGCGTAGCTGATCTTTAGCTGTCTGTTCCAATTCTACCATAGCTGATTCTAGGTTGGAATATCTCTTTGAACCTTCAAACAATTGTTTATTCTGAAACAGAGATATACCAATAAACATCATTAGACCTGTGAGCTGGGTACAGGGTGGTATAAAGTGTTCCTGAGGGTTGGTCATTATTTTCTAATGTTCAAGGATCCAGGATTTCTAAATATGAAAAAGAAATGGTGATCACATTTGTAAAGTGGTTCCAGTTAAAGGTTATTGGAAGCAAACAACACAATGTGTTTAAGAGGGGCAAATTACTTAAACAAGATTCAAGACCAGTTTTAGTTGTTTTCATCTCAGTTTTGGAGAAATTGGGTCTTCCTATACATGTTTTAAGTTTTAAATAATGAATACTTACTAATTTGTCTATATCTGATAAGAGGTTCATATTGGTTTCATCTACATCTTTCTTATCTTCAGATACAGCTATTATTCTCTTCTTTAATGAGTCAATCTAAAATACAAACATCATGTTCAAAATCATAAATATAATATTTTCATCATTCTTAAATTTAAAATTAGCAAACAAAGACAAACAAAGAATATAGGTGGGCTCCGACAAACATGACCTAATATGTCAAATGACTTTATTTATTAGGATTTTGCATTGTGCTCTACATATAAATACTAATTTATTTACCTGAGTTTTGGTTTTATCACTACTTTCACTTAATAATTTAACCTTGGTTTCTAATTCAATCTGAATAATAAAACACGTAGTTTCATAAAATATTTCAGCATGAGACTGGTAATCAGCATGTTATTTTATTTCACTAGGTAAACATACTCTTCTTAATTGACTAGAGCTCATCTCATGCTGCCAACATATGTTTCAGATAAATAATCCTCATCAGGACAGCTTAATTTGAAATGAGGACTAATGGGTGCGCATTATATAAGCAATTATACAGTATATGTATATATACAGAATATAGAGGAAATGATCAGTAGAATCAAGTTGTTAAAACTTACAATCATCTCACAATCTAGTTTAGCCTTTTCTGTCATAGTTTTTATTTTATTTCTCTGACTTTCAACCAGTGTTCTCTTCTGATTGTTATCTCTTTCAGTATGGTTTAATCTTTAAAATAAACAAATCAAGTGTAAACAGTAAGTCTTAATTGCTAAGCAAAGAAGATTTTTACAGTTAAAGTCACGGTATTCAAACAATATCCTTAACTTGCTTCTGTGATAGATTTGGAAATTTTTTTTTTGTATAAGAGACAGTTGCGGCTTCACACTAATTCAATTTCCTGATTTCTATAAGTGAAATAACAATAAACCAGAGAGACTTGAAAACCTTTTTCCTATTGCTATTATTTCTTAATCTCCAGTTGTTTGATAAAATTTTTCCTATTGCTATTATTTCTTAATCTCCAGTTGTTAGATAAAATTTGGAATAGATAAATACTCACTTTTCTGTGACTTTCTTGATTTGATCCTTTAACTGTTCATTTTCTAGTTTTAAACTTTTAATTGTTGTAGCTTGTCGAAGTATTTCAGCAGAAGATGTCTACAAAATGCCAGGAATATAAAATTCATGCAGTTTATATACAGAAAGTTGATTCCATAAATTCACAAATTAAAAAAAATATTAATGTTTTCCCAGAAATTGGCACATCTTTATACTCGTTCCTATGGCTAAGAAATCAATATCTACTAGATGCTGAATGACAGAACACAATATCTGTTCTTGTACAGCCTATTTTAGCGTAAAAACAAATCCAGAAGTAGTATATATCAAAATATTGTGTTCTGTAATTTAATGTATTCTCTTCAAATGACGCAAAAAGATTATCGATAAGATGATATTTAATAAGAAATCTGGTCACCTTTATTTTATGTTCGAGAGTTTTCCATTCCTGTTCTGTATGATGTTTATCAGTTAGAGATGAAATAAGACCGGAACCAGTGGACGAGGAATCATCTCGTAGACCTACTGTCAGCTGATTCTCTAGCTCTATTCGTTCTTTCTGTACCTTCTCTAGTTCACTTGTTAATTTCTAAAAATATAATGACAATACAGAATTTGATTACTTTCTCCAAATTTCAAACTTTCTTAGAAAATTTCTGGTGCGATTTGATTAAAATGATTATGAAAGTTCTTTCATTCCTGATGATATAGTGAGAGCTACATAGATTAATACAATTATGATATCACCATGGGAACGTCCTGTTATCAAATATCAATGTATATGAGACTTGACAACATAACATCAATCCATGGCCAATTTCTATCTAAGTCCTTGGATCAAAATGTCAAACCATCCCGGAATACACTTACCTGAACATTAGTTTTGGTCATTTTAAGTCTTTGATTTGATTGGTTGAGCTCTGACTGTAA